ATAAAAGGCCCAAAATTTTGCAAAGAAAGTCCAAAATTTTACAAAGAAAGTCCAAAATTTTGCAAAGAAGGTCCAAAACTTTGCAAAGAAAGGCCATAATGTTGCAAAACCCTGTGCGATTCGCCAGCCGCTCAGAGCCAATCCTCTGACCTTAAGTGTCTTCTCATTGGCCGGATGCCAAGGTTCGGAGCGTTAGTCTGGGGAGGTGAGCGCGCTGCTCGTTGACTGGGTGAGACTTGTGAATGAACCTTGGAGGAATGCACTTCGACGGTGCAACGGGCTTGTATGCGCCCCCCTCACGTCCGAAACGATGGATCACAATTGGTCTGAGAGCAATGAACAGCTGGAACATAAGCGCACGACCGAAACCATGTCTCTGATTCTAACGTCGTCGACATGCCTTCTCACGTTCGACAGAGTATCTCATCAGATATTCGTGACCGAGTTTTGGGCGCTTTCGTCAACGGTGATGACTGGCAGGTTGTGGCAACTGTGAACAACGTCAAATATCAAACAGCCTACTCCTGGATTCGTCGTTCTCTTGACCAGGAACCGAGTACTACGCAGGCGCGCGGTCGTAAGCCGATTCTGTCGGAGGAAGACGTAGATGACATCCTGGATTGGATCGCAAGGGACGCAACTCTTACGCTACGGGAAATGCGAGTACGAGTACGAGCAGAAATGGACAAGGACATTTCGAAGTCGACAATTGCATGGCACCTAGATGGTCGATTGATAACTATGAAGAACATCTATCAGGTTCCCGAGGGAATGAACAATGAGCGAAACAAAGGAATACGCAGGGAATTCGTTCAGCAGTTTCTCCAATTTGAGAGCGATGGCAAGTTCTTCATTTGGATTGACGAAGCGAACTTCAACGTTTACTGCAAACGTACTCGTGGTCGGGCGCCCAGAGGAGTGAGGGTCTGTTGCAAAGTTGCCAACAGCAGAGGGCACAATTTACATTTAATCGGTGCACTCACGATGGAAGGGAAAGTGTCGATGACAACCCGGAGAGGCTCATTCACAGGTTCCCTATCTCTCGAATGGCTGCGAAGCTATTTAGACAACCTGAAACGGGAGATGGAGCTCCGGCAGGTTGTCGTGATATGTGATAATGCACCATGTCACACACGACTGGAAGAACTGTCGTCAGTAGATGGATCCGATAGAGTAACCATACTGAGATTGAGCCCATACTCTCCGTTCCTCAATCCGATCGAGAATGTTTGGCAGGTGGTGAAGGCCAGAGTGAAGAATGAGATGAGAGTGCACTACGAGGAACTTCTGGCCGGGGATCCCCAGAAACTCTTGACGCAGATGGAATGGAGGCTGCAGTTCCTTGAACGCATTGCCGAAGCAGCCACCAAGGATATCAGCGTTGTAGGATGTCGTAATGCTATTCGACATATGCGTGTACATTTCACTAATTGTCTAGAAAAAAATGACATATTTTGATCACTTTGCTGGCCTATTTTTTACGTATCTGTTTGTATGGCAGGTTACTGGCAGCGCGTAGGAACGTGTGAGTATTCCCAGTGTTTTCAAAATATGTTTGCACGTACGTAAGTTTGTGTGTTCGTACGGGGGTTGAAGCGATATCTGATGTCTAGCGCAATGGAGTGACACGGGACCGACTTCCAGTGAGCCATGCCCGAGTGATATGTTCAACTTATGGTCCTTTTCATGCTGGTATTCGCTGCGCCGTACTCTTTCATGATCAGCCTGAGATAATGTAGATACAGTTTCTTTGTTCGGAAAACTAGGATGTTTGGAAAGCGCTTTGTAGGACCAAGTGAGCTTGCCGGGTGAAGCAACCGTCAGATGTATCACAGTATGGAATATCAGCGTGGATAGTTGAATAGTAGTGAATACGAAATTACTGCGCACGTCATGTGAGGCTTTTCCGAGAGTGAGAGGAACTGCTAGATGCGAGCTCGCAAACACGTCCATTGCCAGACAAGATGTTGTCATTGAATCTGAACAAATGAATCGCGTGTTTAATAGAAACCGTCTCTGTGCGATGTTTGTCCGCTGTATTTGAGTGTACTGGCGCGTTAACCCGTTACCCGATTGGAAGTTGGTCTGTCAAGTTCGGAACCCACATCAGCCGGTTCGGAAGCTGTACTTTAGATTTAAAAGCAACCATTCCTACAGTAAGCCCAATTTAATTTGCGTGCCAGAAAGGCGCGAATAGCTGTCCAGTAAGACTTGGATACAGTCTGGCTTGTTCGGACGATCCTTGTTTGACCCAATAGCGTGCGTAAGCAAATGCGGGGGTAGTTGGCGTGGGAATGTTTCTACGTTGTTTAACGTACTGACATAACATCAGATACAGACAATTGACATTTTAATGACATTACTACCATCTATCTCAGCTCAGGAAATGTGGCTTGCGAAACCGCAAATTTCGCACAATTAGGGTTTTCAGACTTCAACCATGCGAACATCAGAACGTTATAAACTACCCACTCTGAAGATATCTTCGACGCAATAGGATATGTAAATAATACTAATGCCGTTCACATTCACCATGTGGTGTATTCCCTAGCTCGCACCCTTGATCCTTGGATTCACTGTGGAAATATTGTTGCATTTACACCAATACCGACAATTGTCCACACTGCACACAGGACGCCTTCACCACCTGCCAAACATTCTCGATCGGATTGAGGAACCGAGAGTATGGGCTCAATCTCAGTATGGTTACTCTATCGGATCCATCTACTGACGACAGTTCTTCCAGTCGTGTGTGACATGGTGCATTATCACATATCACGACAACCTGCCGGAGCTCCATCTCCCGTTTCAGGTTGTCTAAATAGCTTCGCAGCCATTCGAGAGATAGGGAACCTGTGAATGAGCCTCTCCGGGTTGTCATCGACACTTTCCCTTCCATCGTGAGTGCACCGATTAAATGTAAATTGTGCCCTCTGCTGTTGGCAACTTTGCAACAGACCCTCACTCCTCTGGGCGCCCGACCACGAGTACGTTTGCAGTAAACGTTGAAGTTCGCTTCGTCAATCCAAATGAAGAACTTGCCATCGCTCTCAAATTGGAGAAACTGCTGAACGAATTCCCTGCGTATTCCTTTGTTTCGCTCATTGTTCATTCCCTCGGGAACCTGATAGATGTTCTTCATAGTTATCAATCGACCATCTAGGTGCCGTGCAATTGTCGACTTCGAAATGTCCTTGTCCATTTCTGCTCGTACTCGTACTCGCATTTCCCGTAGCGTAAGAGTTGCGTCCCTTGCGATCCAATCCAGGATGTCATCTACGTCTTCCTCCGACAGAATCTGCTTACGACCGCGCGCCTGCGTAGTACTCGGTTCCTGATCAAGAGAACGACGAATCCAGGAGTCGGCTGTTTGATATTTGACTTTGTTCACAGTTGCCACACCCTGCCAGTCATCACCGTTGACGAAAGCGCCCAAAACTCGGTCACGAATATCAGATGAGATACTCTGTCGAACGTGAGAAGGCATGCCGACGACGTTAGAATCACAGACATGGTTTCGGTCGTGCGCTTATGTTCCAGCTGTTCATTGCTCTCAGACCAATTGTGATCCATCGTTTCGGACGTGAGGGGGGCGCATACAAGCCCGTTGCACCGTCGAAGTGCATTCCTCCAAGGTTCATTCACAAGTCTCACCCAGTCAACGAGCAGCGCGCTCACCTCCCCAGACTAACGCTCCGAACCTTGGCATCCGGCCAATGAGAAGACACTTAAGGTCAGAGGATTGGCTCTGAGCGGCTGGCGAATCGCACAGGGTTTTGCAACATTATGGCCTTTCTTTGCAAAGTTTTGGACCTTCTTTGCAAAATTTTGGACTTTCTTTGTAAAATTTTGGACTTTCTTTGCAAAATTTTGGGCCTTTTATGCAACTTTGCGGGAAATGCTATAGGTCTCATAGGAAAGCTTTGTGCTAACGCCACTCATGATTTTGAGGTAGTGTGCGGTTGGATTCTTCGTTTTAGCTGGACTACACCTTAATGCTTCTAATTGTGGTGTCACTCTTCCTGTAGTGGTGTTTACGTAATACGCCGATCTGACCAAGAACAGCGCAAATGATGACTACGTATGGTTGCTCTTCGGATACCGCCCATTCGACTTACGTAAGTCAGAGCTTTAGGAGGTTGCAAAGCCATCCTTTCATCAGGGCTAGACTCACGGCTGAGTTCCGTTTAAGTAATCCACTTAACCGTGTTGTCATCATGTTGCATAAAGTGCATATGCAGCAATCTTTCATTGCATTTAGCTAACAATTCGGGATGGTCGGATACCGTCTTCCATGGCGCAGTTGCATAAGCTGCGGGCTAGTTGACAAGAGCCACTAGCAGTCATGGGTTCGATCCTCCGCACAGGACAGAAGGATGCGCAACACTGATGAGCCCCAATGGGGTGAAACGGTCGTCTGGTGCTTTTCCGGATAGCTAGTTGACTTATCTGAATTGCCGGCCGATTGCGAAGAACACAAATGACAGGACCTGGTTGTGTAATTTCTGAACTCTGACAGTATGCCCACGGTGGATGTTACGCTTCTGCTCGTGAGGCGTAGCGATGAGCACGATTTCCTCACGATTATGGGGAGGCGTGCAGCGATGATATCAGATCGTACCCGACGCAAGTTTGATTCAAACCCACAGACTTCGTGGTTATTTGCCCGTGAGTTTTCGGCTTATACTATATACAGGGACGGAGCAGTGGATTCAGGTTTGACGAAAGCCTTAGCTGGAAATAGACATTGTTAACCTGTGATATGTGCACCCTAAGTTGAGTCTAATTTGATAATAATAATAATAATAATAATGCGTATTACATCTGCACCTCGGCAGGGGCAGACAGGCTTGATTCCTGCCGTTACTTATGGTAGCCTGTATTGTTTCCAACGTCTGTTTAATGTTTCATTTTCGAACGTACACGTGCTAGCAAAGCCTTGTATTTTTCACCAAACTTCTGGTCTTTGAATCACTGATCTACTTGTGGTTCTATTATAGCTCTCATCGGGGAAGGGATGTCGAAACCAATCCACTGATCTTTAGTGCATGAAGACCAGTGCATATTTATTGGCAACGACATAGTCTTGGCATGCAAGTTTATCGAAGGTGTATCCTCTGACACAAGTTGGGACAACATGTATAAACATGAACTTGCGTAATCGATAATGGATCGAATATTAGAAAGTTTTTCGCAGACGCTTCCAAGTCAGATATCCTCTCATGCCTCCGGGAAACCTCCAGATGCTCGTTTCGTCGTAACGGGACTAGTCAGCAGTACAGATCCCTGGGCTCCAGCATGATCTGAACTGAATGCAAGGCCCTTCAACACCAGTGGATTGTGCCACTGGGCTATGGAGGAAGGCGGGGAACTGTCAGGACGTACAAGCTAAGTGCGATATAACGTGGTTCATGCATCCCTGTTGTGCGATTTACAGACGCTGCAGAGAAAAGGGTTGCCCCTAGAGGCCGTGATTCTCAACCCTGATAACACGGCTGGCATGACTGCTACGAACACCGAGGGTGGCATACACAATGCCTTTGGTAAACTAGTCTCTCTCAACTACAAGTGTGACATTGGTGTACTGTCATATGTGTTAAGGGAAACGGTGAGTTGCGATGCAATTTGTGTGACAGTTTGTAACTGCAGACGTGTATTTTTGTTGCGCGCATCTCTTGACGTTGTTAAAGTATCATTTTGGCGTCCCTTTTGATCGTTAGCAATCGTGTCTTGTGTTTTCCCATTTTCTCCCTGAGGTTGACATAGTCAATTACCCCTTGTTCCTCTAGTTGTCGACGTCGTTTGGACCAGTCGGGGTGATACAAAATAAATCTACGCACCCATCCACTCTGACTGGATTTCACATGCATGCACACAGCATCTGCCTTATTCACAACTGGTGCGGCGTTGTCGCTGCATTCGCGTGTGTGACGAATGTCTGCATGTGCATACGTGCACATTCGCGCCTGTGTGAATGCATGTGAAATCCAGCCAGAGTGGATGGGTGCGTTGATTTGGTTGTTATCACCCCAATCGATCCAAACGACGTCAATAACGACAGCACCCAAACAAGAGGAACAAGGAGTAATTGACAATGTCAACCTCAGGGGGAAAATGGTAAAACACAAGACACAATTGCTAACGATCAAAAGGGACGCCAAAATGATACTTTAACAACATTAAGATATGCCCGCAACAAAAATACATGTCTGAAGTTACGAACTGTCACACAAATTGCATCGCAACTCACCGTTTCCCTTAACACATATGACAGTACACCACTTTCACACTTGTAGTTGAGAGAGAGAGAGACTATTTTTGTTCGTCGCAATCAGCAGACCATTCAGATATGTCGACCAGCTATCCGGAAAAGCACCAGACGGCCGGATAGCTGGTCGACATATCTGAATTGTCGGCTGATTGCGACGAACAAAAATACTCATCAAAATCCATCCATTCATAAGTAATACCAATTCGCCCGTACGGATTCCACAAAATGCTATGTCGATTCATAGCTGCCGTAACCGGGAAGTCCTGACGCCGGAAGGCCGACCGCTGTCATCTGCATGGCAGGTGCCCGCATGGCAGTGGAGGATGCGTCGGGCTATATCGCATTCAGCTAACAATTCATGATAGTTGGATACCGTCCTCCATGGCGCAGTTGCATAAACTGCGGGCTGGTTAGCAAGAGAAACTAGCAGTCATGGGTTCGATCCTCCGCAGAGGACCGAAGGATGCGCACCACTGACGAGCCCCATAGGGCGAAACGGCCGTCTGGTGCTTTTCCGGATAGCTGGTCGACAGAGCTGACTTGTCGGCTGATTGCGACGAACAAAAATACTCACCAAATTCCTTCCATTCATAAGAGAGAGACTAGTTCATCAATGGCATTGCGTATGCCACCCTCGGTGTTCGTGGCCGTCATGCCAGCCGTGTTATCAGGGTTGAGAATCACGGCCTCTGTGTGCACCACAACTCATGTGTAGACAATTGTCAGGAGCTTCATTCCTCCATGAAGTCAGTGACGTAGTAAGGGGTAGAGGCGGTCCACCCGGGGCGGCATGCGACAGGGGCGGCATTTTTAGTACCGTTGAATGTTCCATACCAGGGCTAAAAGGTAGAATTTCCAAATAAGCTGAGGGTTGAGTATGTATGATCAATAACCCTTCTGCGCTTGTATCACGCTTGTGCAAATGTTGTTCCCACAAGCAACTTAGTTGTCCCATTGTGGTCACTTCACCACATTTACTTCAGTGTCCCAAACGATTATCCATTTCATCGACAAAACTAAGGTGCACGTTATCTTGACTCAATTGCGTGAACTTCACGCGCGTATTCTGCCCTCAGTTAGGGAGAAAAATTTGTCACCGCCCCGAGTGGCGAAAGCAGTTGCTACGCCACAGCATGAAGTAAGTGTGGCCTCTATACCATT